CCGGGGGGGGGGGGGGCAGTACACACAGACTTCTAGCCTACCTGGAATCAGCTTGCCCTGTTCAAGTTTCCCACTGGGTGGTGGTTAGATATGTAGATTCCTAGCTCTTATGGAATCAGGAGTTTCACCCTTCACATCCACTGCCACTCTGGGTGTCCCAGAGATCCTACAGGCGCTGTTCAGAATACTGTCAGCAGACCTCCATGTCTGCTCTGTGTGTTCCAATCTCCCACTCAATCGCTCCCTATTTCAGGGGTTACACTGTCACCTCCAGAATCTCCTTGGATCCTCTATAAGTTTTTCTCTTCATTAAAGTCTCCCATGTCTTCATACATTGTTCTCCAGAAGCCTTCTGGTGTGTCTTGTCTGTTTTAGTTTATTCTTTTCTGGCCCACAGATTCTTAAAGCCATTTCCGTGTCTTTACGACAGCTACTTCAAAGTCTTCGTCTTCAAGTCCAACTCTGGGCCTCCTGGGGGGTGGTTTGTTCTTTTCCTGCTGTGAATAGATTCTACTTTCTAGGGTTCTTTGTACACACTGTTATTTTTTACTTAAAACTGTTTATTTTGGACACTGCAATAGAGTAACTCTCCCTAGAAGTGGAACACTGCTGTTATTTAAGAGGTCTGTTGTCCATTAAGTGACGTTTCCAAAGCACTTCTACAAAATACTCCTTGAATGAGGTCATTGCAGTCTCTGTCCTGTATTTCCCTAGCCAATCAGTGACTGACCTGACAGAGATCTCCTTAAATGCGTCTATTTCAACAAGAAAAAGAAAAATGAGCTGGGTATGGTGGCACACAGCTGTAGTCCCAGCACTCAGGAGGCAGCAGCAGGCAGATCTCTGAGTTCGAGGCCAGCCTGGTCTACACAGCAAGTTCCAGGACAGCTGGGGCTACAGGAAGCAGGAAGACCCTGTCTCAAAAAGACCATTCTATCAAAACATCCAAGTCACCATCAATGGAAAACCCAACAAGCTGGACAGCCTCAAAAGTCAAAGCCTCTGTTCTCTAAGGGTTGATTAAGCAAATCAACAGCCAGACTAAGAGAGCTCTTCAGAATACTGCACGCAATTTCCGGCTTCTGAGCCTGTTCCACTAACTGTAGAAGCTGAGCTTACCCAGCATCAGACCGGGAAGACTGGCCACTCGCAGTTGCCATCAGCAGTGGGAGAGATACTGGGGCTCAGCCTGAATCTGTAGGGCCTGCCCTAACTCTGGAGTGTCAGAACTAAAGAAAAAGTTGATGTTGCAGAACAGCTAACTCAGTACAATCTGCAAGTGTTTCACTATTCCAAAGGCAGCTGGTGAAAGGCCAGGGTGTGCCATCCTCCTGGTGCAGGTGTGCACACCGCTGCACTGTCAGAACAGGACTGACTGAACTCCCGGGGCTTAGGGGTGCAAGGTGGAAGCTCTGACACTGAACATACATGGCTGGTTTTCGAACAACCAGCTCTACCCTGCAGCTGCCCAGGTTCCCTTTCCTGCCACTTAATCAGCATGAAAGAGAAAATAAATTCACAGAGTTTTAGGGGCTCTGTGCACAGGAACCAGGAACAAAGCCCAACATTTACCAACAAAATGGGTCTGCCCACTAGAACCTCAGAATGCACCCTGATTTAGAAACAGGGTATTTGCAAATATAATTAGTTTAGGTGACGTCATTCTAGATTAGAGTAGGTTCCAAGTCCAATGTCTGGTGGGGCAATCCACTTGTGCCTATACACCCAAAAGAAATGAACGGATGGACTTGAAGACCTGCACAGTGCTCACAGCAGTATGACTCACAGCAAACAAGCGGGAACAAGTGTGTAGCTGGGTTTTTAATGTGCTTGACACATACAAAGGACTATTATTCAGCCTTTTCTAGAAGGAAATTCTGGGGCTGGAGAGATGGCTTGGGATGAAGTGTTTGCCTCTCAAGCAAGAGGACCTGATTTCCAATC